AGAAGCATAAATAAAAACTTTGATAATTTAAAATTTATGTTAAATAATATAAGTAACAAGTTTAGTATTATCTGTCTGACTGAAACTTGGTGTCATCGAGACACGATTAATTCTAACTTTCAATTATCAGGATATAAATCCATTCATCAACCTAGAGTAAACGGCATTGGTGGGGGCGTATCAATTTTCGTCCAAAACTCATTGACTTTTAAGTACATAGAAAACCTCAAAGTAAATGACGTTGATTGTGAGTCATTTACAATTGAAATAATTAATAAAACAAATAAAAATGCATTTATAACAGCATTATATAGACCACCTAATGGTAATTACAATCAATTTGAAAACCACTTAAACTACTTGCTACCAAAGCTCATAAAAAAACATGTGTATTTATTAGGTGATTTTAATTTGAATTTTTTGAATTATAAAACAGATAACCACGTCGTGCGTTTTACAAATACACTTTTGCAGTACAACCTTTTCCCTATAATTAACAAGCCAACACGCCTGACTAAAACAACTGCATCCATTATCGATAATATTATTACTAACAATTACACAAGCGTGGAATGGCAAAGTGGTATTATTAAAACAGATATAACTGACCATTTTCCAGTTTTTCTGAGTACATATTCTGCAAACCCTGAGAAACATACAAAAACAAAAACTGTATATGAAAGAAAAATAAATAATGAATCACTCGCCACGTTTCGAGACCTCTTACAAGAAGTAAACTGGGAACTATTGACTGATTGCAATGACGTAAATAACGGCTATGAATTTTTTATTCACGTGTTCACTAAGCAATACGAAAAGGCCTTTCCAAAATTTAAAAAAATTATTAAACCTAAAAGTTTGCTTAGTCCGTGGATGACGAAAGGACTCATTAAGTCGTCAAAAAAGAAACAAAAACTTTACCAAAAATTTCTTAAAAAAAAGAACTACAAAAACGAAATAAAATACAAAAAATATAAAAATTATTTTGAAAAATTAAAAAAGCAATCAAAAAAAAATTACTACTCTTCATTACTTAATAAAACATTTGGCAATGCAAGAAAAACTTGGAATGTAATTAAAGAAATAACAGGCGTGGGTAATGTAAAAAAAGACAATTTCCCAAAAAGATTACAAAGAGATGACAATTTAGGTGATGCTTCTGTAAATAAAGAAATTGCAGAAACATTTAACAACTTTTTTATAAATATAGGAAAAAAACTAGCCGATGCAATTCCGGAGGGAAAAAAATCATTTAAATCCTTTTTGAAAAAATCTGATTTCTTCATGGATGAGTCAGAGCTTTTGATTGAAGAACTTCGGCAAGCGATTAGTATGCTTAAATCAAATAAAAGTGCGGGTCTGGATGAAATTAAACCTGATGTTGTAAAAGCTGTCTCTGATATCATAGAGAAACCCCTTTTCATAATTTTTAATCTATCCCTAAAAAACGGCATTTTTCCCGACCAACTTAAATTAGCAAAAATAATTCCAATATACAAAAGCGGCGACGACTCAATAATATCTAACTATAGACCGATTTCCATACTTTCCTGTTTTTCCAAAATATTAGAGCGTATTATGTTCAACAGGCTGTACAATTATCTTGAAAAAAATAATATTCTTTATCATAAACAGTTTGGTTTTCGAAAAAACCATTCTACGGAACATGCCGTAATTGATCTTGCGAACCAAATTTTACAAGGTTTTGAAAACAATTGTTACACACTTGGAATTTTTCTAGATCTATCAAAGGCATTTGATACTGTAAACCACAAGATTCTTATCTACAAACTACGTAGTTACGGAGTAGTTCACTCTAATTTAAAGTGGCTTCAATGTTATTTAGAAAACCGTAAACAAGGTGTACCATATGATCTAACATGCTCCCCATTTGAATCAATAAGTTGCGGAGTTCCACAAGGATCAATACTTGGACCTTTATTGTTTTTAGTTTATATCAATGATATTTTTTTGTCTTCAAAAATACTTAATTATACTATTTTTGCTGATGACACTAATGTTTTCTTTTCTGACTCAAATTTAAAAAATATTTTTTATTATGTAAACGCTGAACTAATATATCTTAATGAGTGGTTTATAGCAAATAAACTATCATTAAATATTGAAAAAACTAAATATATTTTGTTTGCTAAACCATCTCAATCCGAGAACCTTCCACTTAAACTTCCAGAACTAACAATTAACAATATTAAAATAAAAAGAGTTTTTTCAATGAAAATACTAGGAATAAATTTCGATGAACATTTAAATTGGAAAAGCCAAATAAAGTTAGTCGAGAACAAAGTTTCAAAGACTGTGGGCATTATGTACAGGACAAAACATCTTTTGAATAAAATATGTTTAAAAAACTTATACTTTTCATTTATACATAGTCATATTAACTATTGTAATATTGCCTGGGCAAACAATCATTCATCTTTCCTAAAAAATATTTATACTAAACAAAAGCAAGCAAGTCGATTAGTTTTGGGCGCAGATAGGTACGAAAGTGCCAAGCCGTTACTCAAGGAAATTAATGCGCTAAACGTATACGAACTAAATATATACCATAACTTGTTATTTATGTTTAAACTTCAAAATGAACTAATTCCAAAATATTTTTATAAAGGTTTCTCTCTAATTAACCATAAATATGAAACAAGACACTCAATAAATAATTACTACATCCCATCAACATCACTCAAAAAATCTGACTTCTCAATTACATGTCGGGGGCCACGCTTGTGGAAGTCAGTTCTTGACGAAAATATGAAAAAAATAAAATCTATTGATATATTCAAAAGAACTATAAAAAAACACTTACTAAACTCAAACATTACATACATTCTTTCATTTTTTTAAAAATAATATTTTTTGATAAATTTGATAAAAAGCTTTTTTTTTTTTTTTTTTTTTTTTTTTTTTTTTAATTTTTTTTTAATATATATATATACATATATATCTTTCTTGTTTGATTTTCTCTTTGACTGTTTTTTTTTTTAACTTTTTTTAATAAATACTAACAAATGAATTTAAATCTACATAACGTTTGGAATCTTTTTAATATATAAATATTTTTGAATATATACTTCGCTTTGTATTGAATATGTATACGTATATGTTCTGATTCGTAAAAAAAAATTCAAACTTTTTAATTTACGCATTGTATACATTTTTATTTTTTTATTTCGAGATTTTATTATTATTATTATTATTTTTTTTTTTTCTTTCTAATTTTTACTTTTCTTAATTTTTAATTTATTTTAAACTTTTTAATTTTTTTCAATCTTTTTACTTTATTTCAAACTCTTTAAATTTTTTTATTTTTATTTTAATTTTGTTTGAATGTTTGTTTATTTTTTCAAAATTTTTAATTTAACTCTTTTTTATATTATTGGAATTTTAGAAATTTTATATTTCTCTATTTCACAAAAGGGCTTGATGATAAGAATTTATGTCTTCTACTTGCCCCTGTCAGCTTGTAATTATATATATATTTATTCGAATTTAAAGATAACATTGTAAAATGTGTAAAACGACAAAAAAATAAACTGTTATTATTATCTATAATTTGCTGTACAAGATTTTTAGTTAATTTTACAGATGATAAAAACTGGTGAGGCGCATCTTCAACTGGTATAGGTATACCCAATCCTCCATCTCGAGGAGTTAATGTAAAAAGTTTTCTAATGTGATCCTCAAAGGGCGTATCTTTTCCAAAAAGGGTTGGCAACAACAAATTTTCGTTTGCGGGCTCTAGATATTGTTCAAATTTTGGAATAGTTCTTAGGAAATATGTAAATTTTGAACGAAATCCTTTTGTAAACGCAATAAAAGCGGCCTGTGGTTGCGTCTCTGCTACTTTACAAAGTTGTTTTAACTCGGTTAACCATTTTGCTACTTTCTCAGTGCAATATTTGTTCTTAAAATTTTGAGAACCTATTACTGAACCCAAATGTCGTTGACCCTCTGTAGTTATGTTGACCGATTTACCAAATACTATACCTGCATTCTCTGCTAACGAGGGGATTTTACAATTAACCAGCATTTAGATTGGTTTTATATTAATACGTTTTTTAGGTGAAATGAACATTATAGTTTAACAATACGATCTGTTCTGATCGTTTATTGGCAATTTTCTATAATTATAAGCTCTTTCTTGGTCGGAATTCTAGTATTCTTTGTGAAAATTGATAGAAATATTGTGTTTTGTAGTTAATATACGTCAAAACCAATTAGAACTAGGATCAGTAGTAGATTTAGGAGATTTTTCAAAAGATTTTAACTAAATTCATATTAGTGCCGATGAGCGGAATTGATCTTAAGACTCCAAAATAGTGATCTTAAGATATTACGGGTAGTAAAAAGGTTTTGAAAATTATATATAAAAAAGAAGTTTCTTTAAATATTATAAAGACCTTAAGCAAAAAAATTATAGCATTTAAAGACCTTGTTTGGACATAATATGCTGATAAACCATGTAACTCCAAATAAAAGTATTCGAATATTTTGTAAATCGCCTTAACTACGCCGAGCAGGACCTCTTTTTGGTAATAATCAAAAACAATTTTGATTTAAAAAATAAAACTACCACAGCCCCACAATTCCATTTATACATATGCCCATTTAAAGGTTCGCGTTTTGCTAATTTTTAGCATGGACCGGCCCCAGAGACACGGTATGATTAAGACCAAGTTTTGAATTTGATGAAAACGATAAAACTTAAAACGCGTTCAAAATTTTTCAAAGTTTACCTATCACTTGTTTTAGAGATAGATAAACTTTCTCTTAATAACCCAATCGTAAGACTGGGCTATTAGTTTAAAGACAAGAATGGGACTAATTAAAATTAGCTTGCTTCAGCCGTAAAAAAAAGTTTATTTAGTTTATTAATCTTTAAAATAATATTTCTTTTACTAAGAAAAATAATAATGTTGGGAGTAAATTAAGTAAATCCGAAAATATTTAAACGTAACAAATCGTACAAAATAATTATTAAATTAAAATTTAGATTGATATTGTTGAGAAGTTAAAAACTAAGATTTAGTAGTTAACATTAAAGCAACAATTAGTCCATACAACCCTAATACTTCAGCAAAAATGAGTATAAGAATCATGCCAACAAACAAACGTGGTTGTTGGGCAGTTCCACGAACTCCAGCATCGCCAACAATTCCAATAGCGAATCCTGCAGCTAAACCACTTAGACCAACACTTAGACCGGCACCAAGATCTACAAAGCTCCTAAATAAAGTGTAAGAAAGAAATAAATACAAAAAATTATTTGTGGTTGTACATTAATTAACTGACCATTAAAAACTAAATCTTTATTCTGCATTTTTTTTTTTTAAAGTAAGAGGTTTGCAAAAGAGGAAACATTTCAAACGCGATATTGGTACAAAAAGGGTTAGGACTATTGTAATTGAAATGAAAACAATAACAGTAACAATAACTATTGTTATTGTGTTAACTTAATTTAGAAACAATAACAATACTTGTGATTTACAACTATTGTTATCTGTAATACAATAACAATAACTATTGTATTGCAATTTATCTTTATAAAACAATAACAATATCTGAAAATAAAATGTATCGTAATGACCCACTACAATAAAAATAAATATTGTATTGTAATAAAAAAAATTATTTTAGCGTCAAAATTTATTGTTTTAACAGTCCAGTCTCCGAGTAATGTGACCTCGAAATAGGGTACAACTAATATAAAAGTATTTATTCTGTTTCAATTTTATTTACTGAATAGCACTTTTCCTCTGGGGATAGGCATGATTAATTACTACCATTTCCACTAAGTTATTTGCTTTAACATTAGGCACCTATCCAATTGTTCAAGGGTTGAATTAACGCATCGCGATTTGCGATATCTGTTAAATTATCTGGTCTTCAAAGTTTCAGTTTATGGAAAACCACGAAATTTACGGAATAGGCGAATAAACTTTAATTTGTTAGTGAAAATGTTATGAAAAACAAAACAAATTTATGACTACAAAAGTAATAATACTACAGTGTTGTTACTTTTATAACACTCTTTTATGTTACATTTATAGTTTATTGTTTGATCAAACAACACCTAATCAAGATATTATAAATAAAAATGATTTAGTTACGTAATTCCAAACTTTAATTAAAGTAGTAATGCATCTAGAAAAAATACAATGGATATTTAAACAATGTTATAAACCTCAGCAACTTTTATGAATACATATTTTATAAACAGTTTAGCATTTCTAAACATCTTACAAACGGTCCGGAAAAAACGCGCGTTCACTTTAAAATCAACCAATGAAAACACTGGTAATTTACTTCTTAGGAAAAATCTATATTAAAAGGGGAGGGGGGGGGGGGAGGCTAAAAACTTAAATTTTGTTTTATTATTTAATCAATTAAATCATAATAAAAGTAAAGACAAAAAAATATATTTCTAAATATACTTCTTTATAAATAAAATTTATTAATAAATTTTAGTTATAAAGAAGTATAGCAGACAAAAAGTGTTCTGATTTTAAACTAATTTTAGGTTGCATGGGCGATATGGGACTCATATCCAATATATGCATAGGTTTAAACTAATTTTAGGTTGCATGGGCGATATGGGACTCAAAATCCCCCCCCCCCGATGGGGGGGGGGGGGGGATTTTGCTACTGACTACTCTAATGTGTTTAATACAAAGGTAGGTGGGGGTGGGAATTTTAGTCAGGATGTATAAAATGGGAGGAGGAAATAATAAAAAAAGCGAGAGGATTTACAATGAAAGTTTTATTATTTATCGGTTACCAATATATATTTTTTAATTTTAAGGCCAATTTTCACTGAATTTTTGTTTTGAGATATAGTTTTTTGTTAATAACAAGTGACTTGTTATAAACAAATAACACGATTTTCAAAATCAGCCCCATATCGCCCATGCAACCTAAAATTAGTTTAAAATCAGGACACTTTTTGTCTGTTAACCAAAGCCCCCCCCCCCCCGCAGTTTTGCCACTGAGAGTAGTACTGACATTTACTTAAAACTAAAAACAGATGTGTTCAATTTAATAAATTTTAGTTATAAAGAAGTATATTTAGAAATATATTTTTTTTGTCTTTACTTTTATTATGATTTAATTGATTAAATAATAAAACAAAATTTAAGTTTTTAGCCTCCCCCTCCCCTTTTAATATAGATTTCTCCTAAGAAGTAAATTACCAGTGTTTTCATTGGTTGAAAACCAATGAAAACACTGGTAATTTACTTTTAAAGTGAACGCGCGTTTTTTCCGGACCGTTAGTAAGATGTTTAAAAATGCTAAACTGTTTATAAAAATATGTATTCGTAAAAGTTTAAATATCCATTGTATTTTTTTTTAGATGCATTACTACTTTAATTATTTACTTATTAATCATTTTAATAAGTAAATAATTAAAGATTTACTTATTAAAATGATTTAAAAATTCTACTTATTAATCATTTTTATTTATAATATCTTGATTAGGTGTTGTTTGATCAAACAATAAACTATAAATGTAACTTAAAAGAGTGTTATAAAAGTAACAACACTGTAGTATTATTACTTTTGTAGTCATAAATTTGTTTTGTTTTTCATAACATTTTCACTAACAAATTAAAGTTTATTCGCCTATTCCGTAAATTTCGTGGTTTTCCATAAACTGAAACTTTGAAGACCAGATAATTTAACAGATATCGCAAATCGCGATGCGTTGATTCAACCCTTGTTGTTTGTTTATCACAGCAATACAATACAATAGTTCTAAAACCTCAATGTAGTTAGAAAAAAAAAAAAAATACAATAGTTATTGTAACTGTTTTTATTCACAGCAATACAATAATCATAAATACTGTTTTAATTACATCTCTGGTACAACAATACAATATTTTGTATTGTGATTGCTATTGTATTTAATTTTTACAATAACAATAGTCCTAACCTTAGTTACTAAATTAACCCTAGTTACTAAAACTAAAAATCAAACCAGGTTAAGTATTCCAGTTTTGAACCTGTAATGGTTTAATTTTAAACCAAAAACCACTTTGACAACACAAGATACATTTTTTTCTTTAATGATTTTAGTTAAGTATTATTTAAGGAAAAAAAAATGCTTTTATTAGTATTTTTACTGTTTATCTGAACAAATGTAATAAGGAAATTGTTTAAATTTTATTAATGTTTGACAAATTTTGTTGATGTGAAAAAAGATTTGGAAGTTTTAGGTATGTGTAGTTTCAAATAACTTTATGTACCAAAACAACCATCTATCATACAGAACACAAAACAATCAATTTTTACGAAACATAAAACAATTATTTTTTTTAGAAAATAAATATCCTGCTTTTAAATCAGCTACTGAAAGAAAAGCTAGATTATTGATAAAATCAAATATATTATATGATAAAATTTTTGATATTTATCTCCTTGTAATATACTAATAGTATTTTTGCTTTGGATATAAAAGAAAGGAGAAGTAGCTATGCCGGTCAGATATATTGCAGGAACCGACTTCTGGTTATACAAAAAATTAATCGCTTGGCTAATACTCATTTATATACAAATTTTCAAAAAAGTTTTTTTAAGTCTTTTATCAATTTTAATCATTATTAATACATATGACAGGCTATCAAGTTATCATTTTTTTAAATTTTCTTTTTTATGGTTCTTCAACTTAATAATCTAATTAATGTATTTTTAATTATAAAAAATTAAACAAAAAATTATAACACACGGAAAAATAAAAAATGAAATTAGTATATGGCCCATAAAAAATAATTAAAATGACAACTTGACACCCTGATATAATACAACTTTCTCAAATTATCATCCTTTGAAAAACCAAAAACTAGGATTTACTTCACTGCCTATATAAGTAGAGGTACAGCCAACAAAACAGTATTTGTTTTTTACTCAAAAAAAAAAAAAAAAAAAAAAAAAAAAAACACAAAGAATTGAATGAAAAGTACAGAGCCAGTATAAAATTCACGTGTCAGATTGAATCAAAACTTTATTTGCAATAATTAAAAGATTTTGAGAAAGCTTGTCAATGCTGAAAATTAAAGTTTTGGCACTGGTCTTCAAATAATAGGCCTCATAGCAAAGCAAGAATAAAAATATCATTGTTATTCTTGCTTTTTTTAAATACATAATTTTTATTACTTATTTATTATCATTATATTTTTATTACTATTTCTACAGTAACTTTTCTTCTCTTTATTATTATTTTCATTAAATTTAAAAATGGTAATAAATACTTTAAAGTAGTAGCTATTACAATTTAAATTAAAAAAAATCATTTTAAAAGAACTGCTATACAGATTGAACAAAGTACAATATAGATATATAAAGTATAGATTGAATAGACCTATCGAAAAGTGCAAGGGTTAAGATCGCAAAATGTTAAAGTACTTATAAATTTCAATGAGAGTATTTTCTAAACTTCAATAATTATTCAATATAATTCAACTAGTATAAATGGTGGCTAGTAGGGAAATTTTTGGGGAAATTAAAAAACATATATCCATGCTTTAATCACATACACAAAATGTTATAAAAGCATGGGATCAATAATAGAATGTGGCCTGAAAGTACTATATGGACATATACTAAATTACTAGACAAAAAATTTTCAAATTGTGCACAAAGTAAACTTACTTAAATAAAGTGTATCCAGTCGACTTCACTAAAGAAATAAAAAGAAATACAATAATATAAATTCTTATAAAATATCAATATTGTTTATATTATCTTCTGCAACATACATTACTTATCCTGTGCATTTTTTCTGCTTTATCTTAATTTACACTTATTCTGTGCATTATAATTTTTGAAGTAAAGACTTTTTTTTTTAAAAAAAATTATCATATTTAACAATGAAAAAACATTTAGCTGCTGTAATAAATGGCACCGATTTCAAGTTATTTAGCCCATTGAATATTTCTTAAAAACAACCACAACCTGGGCTTATTGACCCAATAATTGGTTGGTTTTGTGTTATACAAGTAAAAAACTTAAAACACTCAACATTATAACTGAGAGTTATACTGTTGGGAGAGGGTTGCAACAAAAAATCTACCATGTTAGCTGAATAGTTCAGAAGTTCATAAAATGGTGGAAAAAACTTATTAAAATATTTTTCCACAAAATTTTTTAATGATAATTCTCTCAACTTTGCTAATTTTATATTTACTGAATTATTTGTTTTGCCCTTTGATCAATTGAAGTTAGTTTAACTTTATGTGTGGCTGTAAAATTAAAATTGTTGTTAGAGTTGTACATTGTTATTGGAGCTATAATTGACTGATAATATTAGATCACTGCTGTAGTGGATGAAAGTCTTCTAATTTACTCAGAACCTTTAATCGACAACATACTTTTCTTTAGCTATACTTTAAATAATTTTTTAAATTTGACTAAAATATTTTTTTTTCAAAAAAATCCTTATGATTTTGGTTAGAAAGATAACTGACAACCACAAATATCTATTTCCAAATATTATTCTATAACTCCCTTAAAAAAGAAAACATACTATACTCCAGGTATTCATTTTATCAAGAATATCATAAGTTTTGAAACATTTCTCAAAGTTAATACACTGCCTGCATGTTTTTCTTTCACTGTCAGTATCATTTTCACATCTGTCAGTAACATGATATAAAAAGTGCCTAAACAATGGCAGAATTGAAACATGACAGTTTAATGATAGTCTGATGAACAGCTTCTCATATGTTAACTATAATGCTACATTAGACCAAAAAAACAGATACGAATAAATACTGACACAACATTGCTAACCTAACAAGGAATTGTTAGGTTCGATTATGTTGGGTATTAGTACTTATTATTATTATTTTATAAAGTATTCGTAAAATAGTTATCTAAATTTTGGGAACACCGTGAGATTTTTTACAAGATCCTGAGAAATTAATTCAAACCATTTTTTTTAAATTTGCATCTAAACTTATAATATTTCTTTTATCAGATCATCAAAAATGTTCTTTAATTTTATTGTTTACATATTGAATTTAATAACAGATCAAGCACAATAAAAACATTGTACAAAACTATAATTGTGCAAAGGTGGCTAATACTATTATGCATTTAAATATCTATGCAGGTTGTAATTCAAAATATTTCTGATTATTGATGGTTGAAATTTAAAATTTCTTATTTGTCCTTCTGATTTATTTAGAGTAGAAACAAACAGCCAACTCTTTGATATTTTAACTAATATAGATCTATTACAGCAGCAACAACAACAAAAAATATTTTACTATAAAATCACTTTATAATTAAAACACACAATTAATTACATTAATCATTAAAACAGCTACTTATACAAAAATACTTACATCCATTAGCTATTAATACTGCTACTACTAGCCCATAGATTGCAATAATACCAGCCATGACAACTGGGATAATTGATTTCATAATTAACTCTGGCCTCATGACACTCATAGCTGCAATTCCTGTGCCACTTTTTGCTGTTCCATAGGCAGCACCAAGAGCTAAAATATTTAAACTTTTTTATTTTTCTACACACATTATATATATAAAACATTGTGCAACTATGTTTTATGTATAGATCTATGTTTTTGATTTATAAAATTCTAAAAATAAAACAAATTAAATTTTTAAAAAAAAAAATTCTATAATCATTTTTACCATTTTAAATAATCATTTAAAAAATCTCTTTAATCAATCAAATGGATCATCAAAATTACTTTTAAATATAACATAGTTCAATATACTTTTTAAATTTTAACTATAGGAATATTTTATTTCTTATTAACCCCATTCTATTTAACAAATTAAAAAAAAACTTTTTTAATTTGTTTAAAATTGATTAAAAAAACAAATTATACCATAATAAAAATAAAATAATTTTAACTTATTACTAAACTAAACTAAATAATTAAACCGAACAAAATATAAACTTTAAATTGAAATTAAAACTAAAGATTTTAGTTAAGCTAAACAAACAAATTTTTCAACTTAGCAAGAGGTACAAAGTTTTTTTTTAATATTAATGCAGTGATGCACTTGGCATAACCTAATTTTGCAAACCATGATGAGTATTTTTAATACGATACAACTTCTAGAATGATTGCCACACAAAGTTTAGGAGTTCATTTTACCATGAAGTTAGGATTTTTCTAGATAAATTGCTTTTGCAACTACTAAAAAGCCTTACCTGCCAATATAAACACATCTATAAAATAGATATAAATATTCAATAAATATCAATATAATTATATTATTAACAAAAATATAACCATAATCATAATTTAATTATGGTAGAAATTTGATAATTTTGCACACCAGATCACATTTGTTTTCATTAGTTGCTTCAAAACAGTAATTGTAAGTATATGTCAAAAATAATTGAAAAACATAATTTGTCTTCTCAATATGATTTTTGATATTGTCAATTTTTTTTGAAGTTTGAAAAAAAATCAACAAAGTTTTGAAATGATTTATTATAAACATATTAACTTGGTAACTATTTGTTTTCACTAACTTACATTTAAACTTATTTTAAAATTTTATAGTATTACTAATAATATTTCAGACAAAATTAAATTATTAAATAATGAGTGCGCTTTTGATTCTAAACACATTTATCAATACATTAAGCAAATTTGCAGGTAACAAGCAATAATCTTTAATAGCTTTTATAACATAAAATACGTTGAAATAAAAGCTGCACACTTTTTTTTTTTTTTTAGAAAACCCAGAATATATTAAAGAACTAAAAAGTAATACTGTGCATTTATGTTAATTATTTTTCTTTTAAAAACAAGAGATTTAAATTGGATTTAATATATACTATTATTGCAAATTCTGAATTATATATTTATTATTACAAATAATTCTCTATTATTTTAAAACTGTTAATTTTAAAATGCTTAAGTTGTAAAGTTTAACCAAGCAAAATATTATAAAAATGCAACGTGCTGAAATTTTAAATCAAAAATCAACGGAAATGGTGGAAGTTTTTTTATTTTAATGGCAAAACAGAGAAAAAATGATAAACGATATAAATAAAGCTATATAACAAGAAAAATATTAAAATGCTTAAACTAAAAGCAAAAAAATAAACTTATTTTACAATCTTTAATACCTTTTTTGTTTGTTTATTGCTTACTTATTAAGGTGTGACTCTAATGACCAGTTTTTGGTAATCCTACAGTTAAGCAGCCTAAAATAATTTTTTTTTTTGTTTTTGAAAAAATGGAGAAAAAGCATAAAAATGCATATCCAAATATAATAATAAATGGTAATAATTATTTATGACTATTTTTTTATATTTATAATAACAGTTATCATTTATTATTGAAAAATATTTAAAAAAATAATTATATTTATAATAAATATTTAATGACATTTTTAAAGTCTCCACGAACAACAGTACAAAAAAAAAATTATTTTAGGTCGCTTAACTGTAGGATTATCCAAGTTTTTAACTAAATAAGTAAAACAGAATTGATTTTGTAAAATTATATATAAATTTGTAATTTTCTAAATTTATGGTTGAATATTTGGATTAAAGGTAACAGCAAAGCTTACCATATTAAAAAAACAAAACACATAGGAACAAATAGTGACTTTCTTAACATTATTTATTTAATGCATTTGAATAGATATATATTATAATATATATTTGTATGACATAATATGTCATACAAGTATATATTATAATATGTCAAAGTAGAAAGTAAAATTGTTAAGGATGCAAGGGTACTAACTTTATGGGTACAAGAAAATAAGAAAAAAAGAAAAAAATCTTTTTGTTGAGTTCTTTTTGTTAGGTTGCCATTTTTGGGGCTAATAATTTCAAAAATTTTGAAAAGTAATTTTTTAAATATTTTATAAAATCACATGCTTTTGATGCACATCAAGAGTATTGAATAAACATTTCTTGTAGTTTAAAATGTTATAAATGTTATTAAAATGTTATAAAATATTTATTATGTTATTAATTACAACAATGTGAGCACAATTCATAAGAAACTTTTAGGCTAGATTATCAAAGAAGTTACGTTTAAGTTGATATTATAGGTTAGGTTATTCTTTTAATGTTAATATTTGATCTTAAAATATAATACTTTTATATTTAATATATTTAAAAAAAGTACACGAATTTTAAATACAGCAAATCAATAGCTTACCATTAAAAGTCATAATAAAATTATCATTAGAAATCATAAGCAGTAATTAAAATAAAAATATAACAATAAAAATCCAAATTAAATCAAACGCCGAAGCTTACCACTAAAAATCATGGCAGATGTAGCTCCCATAACACCAAAAAAAGCAACATAGGTTGGTTCATTTGCAGGTAATGTGTTAGACATGGTATATTATTACTTTAAAAATTATGATTAATGTGTAGCTATTAAGTGACAATTCGCTTTACCAGCAACACCCTCGAAATTTTCACGCTTGGAAAAGCGATGATATCAGGATATTTTGCATTAAGAAATAATTACACTAATGCATTGCGACAAAAAAAAGGTGGTTGGCATATTAGCGTATTGCTTTTGTAAAACCGTGCGGTCAGCTTTACTTTAAATACTACTTATTTAGCGCCTAAACATGTTTATGTTGCTTACTATGGCAAAAAAAAAAAAAAAAGGCTCATACCTAAATAAAGCCTATTTTTATAAGCAACCGTATAAGTTCTTAGTACAAAAGTTTTCAATGAAATTTGAAAAGTGCGCCTTTTTAAAAGTATCGCAATTTTGCCTCCTATGCTTTATGCTCTGTTTTTATAAATGACATGATATGTTTTTTAAATATGACATGAGCCATATTTGAAAAAAAAAATTATCTATTGCTAAGAAATCATTACCACTTTGAACTGATTACAAAAATAAAAAAATATTTTGTTTACAAATATAAAGGTCAGTTTTCACTCATCCTTTTTTCTACAGGAACTGGAAAAGGAAGAAAAAGCAAATCTACGTATCATGTGATTTCTTGTACTTTCTCTTTTCCGTTGCGGTTAAAAAAACGAAGAGAGGAGATTGACCTTTATGATTTACAAAATTTTTTAAAACTAATTGGCACTTCTTGTTTCTTTAAAGAAATCTATAAATAAATAAAATAAATAAAGTTTTTTTGAGCATGAAGGGACGGTTACATTGAACCGGACAAGAATATTCTTAGTATGGTAGATTATTATCACAAAGTTTGAAAAAATAAAGTTTTTGGCTTCATAAGAAATTTGTAAAAAGATTTTTGATTACATTAAAATTGTAAAGTACCTCGTTGTTTTGAAATCGGAGCATCGACATCAGTAACTTAGTACTTAGAATTCAGGTTTTTATAATTTTCATAAAAATTACTTGAAGCTTTAGAATTGACCATTGACAGTATTCAATCTAAATTTAAACAAAAACAATGTTAATTTTTTCAAGAGACAAAATCAGTATTTATAAATGCATCTAAAAATAGCTCAATAAACAAAGAAGTCCTTGCCTTTTATGATCCAAATTTAAATCTTTCAACACTTTTATTCCAAACTCTTTATTCCAAATCCAAATATTCCAAAACGAATCCACTACTTAGTTAGCCATAAAACACTTTGCAAAGGTCTTATACCTTTTCTGGTAAGATACAAATTGATTTACTATAAATTTGGTTGTTATTTATTTTATTAATTCCGACTGCATTGTAACACAAATTGAATAATATAGTGCATATTTCTATGTTAACATAACACACACAAAATTTTCCTTCACCTTATCATGTTTTCAGAAAAAAAATCGATATTAAAAGAAATTTTTCTCATTAACTAGGAAATCGATTAGCCTTATCATTTTGATACAAGCAACAAATGCTAATGACGAGGCTTTAACACACTCCTACAAATCATAACTCGGTTGAGAAGCACTAAGAGTCGAGCAAGGTTTAACTGATGAAAGTTTTTAGATATGTACAATAAAGCAATTGACTAATTAAGTTATCTATGTAGCCAATAACTTTTGTAGCAGAAGTGAATACTTTTTTGAAAACATTTAGGCAATTGTAATTATAACTCTTGAATTTAGTTTTGCGTTTTATTAAGATTGCATATTTTATAAAACTTGTTTTCCAAAACCAAATAAACAATCTTTACCTAGCTTTTTATTTTCTTTGTAACTCCGCATCGCATCGCATTAAAAAATATTTACTTTTTAAAGCAAGTTTTACTTCATGCCATTAAAAAAAATACCTACAGCAAAATGTACCTACATTGTATCTAAAGTTTGTTAACGTTTTTAAATAATCTGAGTCTGAGCTGATTTTTGTGCCCCTACTCTAAACACTCCCTCTCTCCCCTCCCCTCATCGTTTCAAAATGTTTTCTACATTCATGTGATCTCAGAAAGAGTGTATATATATATAGACCACGAAACTAGATACTCTATAAAGCATAGACAATATAGAATTACAATCGGTAGACGAAAGGTAACAGGGCAAGAATATTTCCTAAGAAATTCACTTAATTATTTCTTTTTTTTCGATTATTTTCTCGAAAATAATGTTGAAACAATGTGCAGTTGTCGACGTAAATAGTTATTATAATTGTAAACTATATAAAAAGGTATTAATGTGTGTAATACAGCATTACTGTTTATTTATTTAAATATTGGATTAAAAAATACTTTATTAACAAGACTAGTATTAATACCTAAAATAATGCATTGGTAATCTCTATTGACAAAGAGGCTAAACTTGTAAACATAACAAATTTAGAAACCTACTTTAAAAAGTTAAAAAATTCAAAATTATTACGTTAGATTTTTCAAAAAATATTTCTGTAACTAATGATCGTTTAAAATATTTTTTTAATTTTTACGCGGATTTTAACTTTTAGGAATTTCTATTGAAAATCTATCTTGGAGATCACACATCAATAATATTTCTAATAAAGTTGCAAAAAGCATTAGAATTCTAAACAAATCTAGAGGTATTTTAAACAAAAGCCAATTAACACAATTATACTACTTCTTTATTCTTTATTTATAAATTAAAATATTATATGGGGAAGTACACATAAAACTAAACTTAAACCTCTTTATCGGTATCAGAAACACGCAGCTCGCATAATAAATTTTTAAAATCGTTTTTCGAACTCTGAACCGCATTTAAAAGAAATAGACACCTGGAGTCGTATGTACGCCAAGAATTTAAAAGTTTGAATACGCTTATCTGCACCGGATCCTAACTTTAAAGATATCTATATCTTCATATATAAAATTCATAGAAATGCATATAAATAATTATTTTTGATTCATTATAGAGTAACACAGAGGAAAATGAAATATATATGAAATTTTTGTTTAAACATTATCTGAACGTTTTTCAATCATGTAGAGCTCTGTTTGAATAATCTAGGTTGCACTATTAATCTAAAGTTTTAGATCAATTATTTCAAAAATTGAACAATTTGTCAAAAAAAAAAAAAAATTATAATTTATAAATTTTAACTTTTTAAAAATTATAAAAAGTTAAAATTTTAAATCAACTTATTCAGAAAATGATTCTCAATAAAATCTTTTTAAGATTTTAATAAAAAATAAACAATTTTTTTTTATAAATTGTTTAATTTTCCGCGACGCATTAACTTTTTTTTCTTTGGAAAAATGAGTATAAAACTCATTTAATGTGAAATGATGTAAAATTTAACAACAACTTAATTTTGTATAACTTTTTAAACCGGTTAAGTATATATATTTTTTAAATTATATTTGATGTATCCGGTAAAAAATTAAAAGATAAAAACGGAAAAAAAGACTGGTTAATAAACTTGTTTAATGAGGCCTTTATTAGTTAATTTATCTAAACTGACCAATTAGTCTAATTATAATTATCCAATTATAGGTATTTATATTTCTGTCGTAAATAAACTCGTGACATATGTTAGCTGTTCGAGTGTACATACTCTCGCACCAAAAAATCTTGTTAACTTGTTTATCAGCTCATTTATCACATTTTGCAGCCAGTAGGTGTATCGCCAGTAGGTGTATCGCCAGTAGGTGTATCGCCAGTAGGTGTATCACCAGTAGGTGTATCGCCAGTAGGTGTATATATTAACTCACCTGTAGCCAACCCTCAATATTGCAATAACTCCAAATGAGTTGCATCTAACATGTTGACACACACGTACACATGTACACACACACACACACACACATACACACACATACACACACACACACACACACACACACACACACACACACACCAAAATGTAGACATTCCAAGATTCAAAGTTGAGTGTTTCAATGAACGTGAAACCTGATGTTTCTCCGGAGAAAACTTCTTGCAGAAATGTTCTCTGGAACAGTCGTCTATAAGATCAAAACTATTTAACAGATGCTTGTTAGAATCCTGTTTTTTAACCTGCTGGAAAGCGGTATTTGTTATCCTTATTTTCAAAAAAAGAGAGCAATTTGACTTGTCTAACGACCTTCTAATTAGTCTTCTTCCTCATAAGCAAGGTTTTTGAGTCTTTAATTAACAAATACTTAATCTCTCATCTTGAATCTATTAAGTTATTTTTTGATCATCAAAATGGATTTCAATCTTTTAGTTCTACTGCTGATTTGCTAATGATAATAACCAATAAGTTTTCTCGTGCATTGGATAAATGTGGAGAGATTAGGTCATTGCTATCGACATTTCTAAAGCCATTGATAAAGTTTAGCATGATTGTCTTCTCAATAAGCTTTACTTAAGGTTGTCACAGGTTACACCTTTAGGATTATTGAATACTTTCTTATAAATCGTAGTATAAAAGTTGTCATCGATGGACAGCATTCTTCTTCACAACAATCTAGATACTCCTACATTTATAAACGGTAATCGATTCAATGAGTCGTCTGCCCTTCGTCTTCTAGGACCAGGGGCGAGGACACCAGGGGGGTTGGATGACACGCCCACTTTTTTTCTTAAGAACCCTTTTTTTTAAAGAAAATTCGAGATATAGAGGACTTTTTTTAGAAAGTGATGATTGTGCCCCTCCACTTCAAAACCCGTGTCGTCAGCCATGAGGATTAATTCTTACTTCTGAACTTTGTTGGAAACCATTTATCAAATCCAGGCCCGCACAGAAAGTATGTTGTGCCCAGGATCAATTTTTGTTCGGTGCCCTAAACTTTCGGTTCCTGAGTATATTAAACTAAGCATGAATTTCACTGTTTATCGTCCGTATGTCTACTATCACATTACAATTTAATGAAAACAATAATTCATTTTGTATTAATTATAACTGCACATAAACACTCTATATTTGAACTTAATTATATATGATAAAACGAGAATACAAATACAATTTAAAATGAATGAAATTATATATTATATCAATAAAATATTAGTTATGAAGACTAGTCAGATCACAATAACTTCACTTTGTGGGCATTCTTCTTTGCAAAACTAAAGATAACATTTTTGCACGATAAAGTCTTGGCAAGGCTGTTTTCAATTGAAATTACCATAAGGTTAGTAAGATCATTGTTATTGCTGATCGCAATTTGGATTTGATGAGAGTAAGCTTACTGAAAGAGTGCTCTCGCTCAGCGACTGAAACCGGGATTGTATTAAAAATGCAGATTGAGGGAAATATTGACCGAAGACTTTTCTGGTAGATTCTGTTAAACAACTTGATAGAAGAAAGAGATTCTATTTGTCTAAAAGTATTTGATCGCTTCAAAACATCTAGATGACGGATTTTTCAATCAACTTCTCCTCAAACTTGGGTTTTAAAGTACCTATAAATTTTGCAAACTCCTAAAAATGTCTTTAAAAGAACATGAAACTATACATTTCTACTGATTTAAAATAAAAGTATTATAAACATACACAATTTTAATAAAATCTTTTATTGAGGGTTGCATGTGCCCCCTTTATCAGAGGTAAAATGTACCCAGTGCCCTCCCCCTCTGGGTGGTCCTGATCAAATCCTTTGCTAAATTAGCATTTGCTAATTTTGCATCTCTTTGTCGTGGTTGCCACTTTCTTACACTGGATTCTATTCTTTATCTCTATAAACCTCTGATAAATTCTAGTTAGGTATACTGCCCTTTCTCTTCTAGTGCCCTTTATCTCTATAAATCTCTCGTCTATTTATAAAGTGCTCCAAAAATTCTTATTCTAGTTAGTTCGTTCTAGTTCTTTTCCTCGAATATCAGTTTTTGGAATTCGTTTCCTTCTTTTTGTTTTCCTGATTCATATAATTTATATTTTAAGTCGTCTGTCAATCGTTATCTTGTTCTATAAACTCATCTTTTCTCTTCAAGTAACTTCCAATTTTAATAGAGGATGCTTGCGATCTTGTTGGAAGCAATGATGTTAAAAAAAAAAAAATTTTTGTTTTGTTTTTAAACACATGACAATTTTAAAGATTTAAAATTTTAAGATTTTAAAGAAAATGAAAATATTTTTTTTTTTTAAGAAAAAGATTTATCAGTTTTGATGTGAGTAAATAAATACAAATCAAATTAAAAAGGTTTAGTTTTTTAGGAAGCTTTTATCTATTTGAAAAAATAAATTTTTTTATATAAAATATAAAATAATTTATTTTATATTTTTTCAAATAGATAAAATATTTATCTATTTGAAAAAATAAATTATTTTATCGAAAATATTTTATTTTTTTCAAATAGATTAAAGTTTCCTAAAAAACTAAACCTTTTTAATTTGATTTGTATATACTCTCTTGTATGAACTCACATATCAAAACTAATAAATATTTTTCTTAAAAAAAAATTTGAAATTTCTATTTATTTCATGGAAGCCCATTTTATTTTAATTTTCAATTGTCATAAATTATGATCTTTTTTTTTTTAAAGGAGCGCCTAGTTCGAAACAAGGTCACCGTGTTCATCGGACTGTATTTTCTCTTGTCAGTTGGATATTTGTGTTATCGGAAGCATCTGATTCCGACAACAAAACTTAAACGCAGTTAATTGTTAAATAATTGTAAATTGTAACTATCTCAATGAAAAATGAAATATTATCAATAAGAAACAAACAAAAAGTAGATAATTAATGGGATCCTACATGGGAGTAAATCAAAAACTAACATCTAGAATTCTTTCCAACTGTCGATAGAGCATGAATGCATTGAAGTATTTGTCTGCTGTCCTTATTGCTGTTCTTTTAAAAATTGTTTAAACATGATAAAAAAAAAAGAAACTTTTTCAAGAGCTTCTCTGAGCTTAGCGACTGCACAAATATGTCATTCTTTAGGGTGGCATTCAATCCACCAGTCTTCTCACGATGTATTAACTGATGTTTTGGAAAGATATTTATTGTTTCTGACTCAAACTGCTGTCAAGTATTGTCAAAACTGTAGGTTTGTGTGTTTCTATTTTTATAGTAATAGGTATACTAGTTAATAACGGTTTTCAAAAATAAACATGTTCTGTTAAAAATAAACATTTTTAAAAACAAACTTTCTTTTGGTGATTTTCTGAAAAAAGTTTATAAGTAGTTATTGTTAATATGCAGTATACATTTATGTTCATTTATAAGATAGCAAATAAATCTAAAAATTATGGTTAATTAACATTGGTTCAACTCATAAAACAAAAATTTTACTTATATGCGTACAGAGACCTAATTGATACTACTGTTAGTTGTTTTTCAAAAATCAAGACTTGGACAAAAATTCTCTGAAACTGCAGTTAAGCGGCCTAAAATAATGTTATTCTTGTATTATTCTTATATTCTTATGTTGCATTCTTGTCAGTGGAGACTTTTTAAACATGAAATATTTATTTAAATAATAAAAGAAAAAAGATTGCTTTCCCATGTCAAACCCTCAGTTGATGTAGCAGCACACTCCAGCACAATATAAATAAGTTAAGGGTTATCTATTATACGTCATGTCAATTGACCCAGGATATGTCACCATACATCTCAGATTTTTCTGATTTTTATACAGTTGATAGTATTTAGTAAATTATTTTGGATCCAGAAGATCCTGAAATATGACTATTTTACTTTTAGTAGATAATAGCCAGGCCCCTTTTGACCCCTCAAAATTGCAATATTTATTTAAAGGTTTCAAGTCACATAACTTTAAAAATATTAAATTTTTTTACTTAAAAATTTGTAACTGGCTATTATCAGGGGTGACGAATCTAATGAAATAATCACATATGTAAAAAATAGATATTAAGTAACTGTATTTATCAAATTAAAAAATTAAATTAATTTTTATTTATTTTGTTTAAATTAATTTTATTTATTTTATTTAAAATAATTTTATTTAAATTAAATTAATTTTTATTTAAGTTAAATTAATTTTTATATACCTGTTTTTAATGCATACAAAACTTATGTGGCCTTTTTTTTTGCACATCATTCTATATTCATCTATCTTTCAGAAAACATAAGGATTTTGATCTGCATGTATATGGATTTCCATATATGGAAAATGGGGCTGGGTCCCTAATATTTGGTAGCAGATCATTGTGATTGATTTTTCACTATCTTCCAGATTAGCTGGAGCTCTGAAACATTTCAAATTTCTTTTCCAGGGCCTAAGACATCAAGGGGGACTGGGGCAAGTGCTCCGTTTTTTCATAGCTGAATCTTGTGATATATTTTTCACCACCTTCCAAACAAGGTGGAGCATTAAAACCTTTAGCATTCGTGTAGTTTTGATAAGCATGTGTTAAAATTGTTTTAAGGGCAGATGACCAGAGGGTCTGTGGCCTGGGGCACTAGAATTATGACCCATTTATTTTCTCAAAAAATATTTCTTTTTTTTTTTTGCATTTTTATCAAAGTAAAGATAAATTTGAAAATATCATCTTCAAAAATTCTGAGCAAAATCTGAGATATATGGTGACATTTATAAAAATTTCTGGGTCATTTGACATAAAATTAAAGTTAAAAAAGTCCTATAATTATAATAAGTATTATTATAAATGTGTAAATAATATATATGAATATATCTTTAGTATATCAAATTATATTTGTATATAAATGGGGAAAAATCAAAGCTTCAACTATATTCATGCTAGTAAATATTTCAGAATATTATTCTCACAAATATTACTTATTATCCTTACAGTGATATTAATATTTGAAGCTTCTAATTTTAAATATAGTTATGAATACCTATCCTGCAAATAATATAGATTTCAATCAACAACAAATAAAATAAGGTAAATACATAAAGATGGCTATCATTTGACATTTTAAAAGATAGCTGTCATTTTACAACTAACCTTTTTTATTCAAAATTCAGTTATTAAAAAAATTATTTAAGTTTTAGTTATTTAAAATGTTGCAAAGTTATTAGAGAATTGTGGAAATCGTTTAAAAAAATTATAAAAATTATATTGTTATTAATTATAAAGTTTATATTGTCACGATTATAGCACAATCGTCATTTTTGGGGGTGTTGAGTTAAAATGTATAGCTTATACACTTTTAAAATAATCTAATGTTATTAGATTCAAAAAAGTCATATAGTTTTAATAAATAAGAACTGTGCACAAGAAATAATGATTTTTTCACTGATTTATGAATTCATTTGTATTAATATGTATTAAAAATAGCATTTCTCTGTGCTGAGGTAACAGCCTCGATCATTTTTTCTTATAAAAATTTAGAAAACAATCTCTCTGAAAATGAAGTACTTATAGAAGATGCTAGTGATGCTAATAATTTAAGATTTTTTTAACAGTATATGGTCTACTATTTAGTAAATAATATATTGCTTTACTATTTAGTATTACTAGTACTAAATGGTTATCTAAAGCAATCATCATAGCTATTTTTTTAAATGTGTTTGCTTTGAATTTTCATAATTAATTTTTCATATCATTTTGATGAATACTTTAATTGAAATTAACCTAAAATGTGCACTAAAAAAAACAAATACCAAACTTCGATAGACATTTGCTTTTTGATTTCACACATTTTTTTTACAATTAAAATGCTTTTTTTTATTTTCTGATTTATTTGCATTTAAAAATAAGAAATGAAAAAGTTGATAATATCAAATTACTCTTATGTAACATTGAAAAAAAAAACCTAGTTAAAATATTGTGCATTAGTAATACACATTTTACTTTTTTAAATTTGATTTGAACAAAGACAAAGTGGTCAAGTAGACAATATAATCAGGTAGAGAATTATATATCTTGATAATTCTTTCACAGTAGAAAAATCTTTGTGTATCATTTTTACATTTAATACATGAATTGAGTTTTTGGGCATGACATCTTGTAGGATATTAAAAAGTAGCAAATGTGAAAAACTCAAAAAAAGGTAGATCAACAAAGTTGTTTTAAAATTTTATAGGTTATTACAAGGGTGAAATGGAAGTTATCAGACAAACCTGAATTTAATTATTTGAGCATAATAATTTGTTTTTGTGGTTTTATAGGCATAAACATTCTATAAGATATAAACTTTATTATTCAAAATATAATTATTTAAAATGAGATTAAATACAGCTGAACAAGAATCTTTTCAAAAGCGAATGTTTTTTGTAAATAAACCTAATATAAAAAAAGAAGAAGTCATAAATCATTTTGAAAAAAAAGAATTTGCTCAAAGTACAATATATGATAACCTAAAAAGACTTTAAGCTATTTAATCTTTTTCTGATTGAAAGCACCCTGGTCGTCAAACATCCTTAAAAGAAAGCTGAATTAACAAGACTTGTCAACAATCAAAAAAGGGTCAGTCAGAGAAAAATAGGTTTTAAATTCAGTGTAAATCAATTGACAATTGGTTGTCAGTTAAGAAAAATTAATATTAAATATAGAAAACATGACTAGACTCCAAAATAAATTATAGAACAGCAATTAAAGGAAAAGAAAAGAAGCAGCAAACTTGTTAACCAACTGTATAAAACAAAATTGTTTTTGGTCATCAATGACAAAAAATATTTTTTGTAGTTGTAGCAATTAATTCATCGATCTATATTGATGAGTGTTTAGAAAAACAATTTCTTCCATTCATTCACAAGCATCACAGATACTTTAACTATTTATTTTGGCCAGATTTAGCCAGTACTCATTATTCTAAAGATTCTCCAAATTGGATGGACCAATATGTTTATTACCTTGATAAAGAATCCAATCTTAAACTTTTGGGGACATTTGGCACAAAAGGTTCACGAGGGAGATTGGCAAGCTTCAACAGAGCAAGTTGTGATTGATCAAATTAAATTAAAACTACAAGAAATCAATTTTTTTTACAGTCGCTTATGAAAGACATTAGAGAAAAATTAAGATCAATTGCAGATGGCGGTGTTTTTTCATTTAAAAATAACTTATTTTTGTTAAAAGATAAATACTTTATTTAAAAAAAGTATTATAAATTTAAAAAAAAAATAAGTTGTTGACGTTTTTATTTTGTCCGATAACTTATGCATCGTTACATATATATATATATATATATATATATATATATATATATATATATATATATGTATATATAATATATATATATATATATATATATATATATATATATATATATATATATATATATATATATATAAATATATATATATATATATATATATATATATATATATATACATATATATATATATATATAAATATTTATATATTTATATATATATATATATATGTATATATCACAATCATTCTCATATTTGATACTATCAAATATGAGAATGATTGTGATAGATTTAAAGGGCGCAACTTTATTGGGAAAATTACCGGTACCCTAATATTTTGAAGAAAAAAAGTTTTTCAAAAGTAGGTCAACCTGGTACTCAAAATAAAAAATTCGAAAATAATAATCATTTTATAAAAATCATATTGCCGAAAAAAATTGTTATTAAAAAACATGTAAAATTGCACCTTTTTCACTTTTAGTTAAAAAACTATAGTTATTATGCAATAAAATCTAAAATAATAATTTTTATATATGAAAAAATTATTATTTTTGAAATTTTTATAAAATTTCGCTTTATTTGAGTACCTACATCACATAATTTTGAAAAACCTTTTTTTTTGAATAATAATAGGGCCTGCTAATTTTTGTAATTATAGTTGCGGGTGGAAGACATTGTTCAATGCATAAAAGTAAATACTTTCCTAAATTAGTACATAAAAAAACAACTTTCTAGACCATAGCCAGGTTATGTATATATATATATATATATATATATATATATATATATATATATATATATATATATATATATATATATATATATATATATATATATATATTATTTATATATGTATGTATATATATATATATGTATGTATATATATATTTATATGTATACATCATACCTTAAGTGAGTTTTCTCCATTTAAAATTTAATGCTCCTTTGAGTAGCGACTATAATAGTATTTGAAAAAAGGAAAAAAAGATGCAACCTTTCAAAATTTGGAGAAGTTGAAGCTTGGCAGGTCCAACATGTTTGCAATGCGTTTTTGGACCTTGTCTATAAGAGAAATAGCATCATTAGAATAAACAGCACAAATATAGAAACATTATTCCAATGTTGATAGTATTGCAATAGGTGCTTACTGTATATAAATGAGTTTGGTTGGAGTTAAAATTTACAAGCCACTGCAAGCCCCCAGCTGTTACAGAAATGAGATCAGATTCAAGATGGAATCATTACTGGAAATGAAGATGAGTGTTTGCATTTGAGGATGACTTTAACAAAGCAGTTAGAAAGAAACGATTTTATGATCCCTAAAACTTTCCCAGATATACTATATGAAACAAGGTTATGGAGAAGACCGGCATGGCATCTAATGCATGATTGCATCTTTCAGTCACAGCAGTCAGCCGCAGAATGAGAAGATTGGAAACCATATTAATTGTCTGACAGTAACTTGTTTGAATTAAGATGGTAAGACTTGAAGATCTTGCTGTTAACAAATAAAAGACTGATTGGATGATAGTTAGAGAGGTCAAGATGTTCTCCAGAATTTTTGAAAATTGGAACAACAGATGCCATTTTTCAGCAGGTAGGAAAACAAGACTCAGTCAACCACTTATTAAATAGTTTAGAGAGAATTGAAAAGTGTCCTGGAAAACAGTTTTGTAAGACAGCAATGTTTTCTGAATCACACGCCATAGAAGCTTTTAATTTATATATGACTTTAGCAACAGTAGCTTGAGTGATTAGAATGTCTAATAATGGGTTAACCTGCTTAACTGGAATGACAGGAAGAGTATAACCAAAATATTTAAAAGCTGAGTTAGAAGAAAAAATCTTTGCAAATAGTTTTGCCTTGTTTTGCCTTTGGGAGAGGTAATAAGATCATTCCCATGAATGAGAGACGGAATGTTAGACTTATCTTTGTTAATGACCCTGTTAAAGATTTTTCAAAAGTCTCTAGGGCCTAACTTTTGAGATAAGATACAAGACTAAGTAAACTGAGAATAATGAAGCTTCAGACAGTGCCTTTTTATATTGATTTCTTGCAATAATAAATCAGCATTTGTTCTCAAAAGAGTTGTTCTTTTGAAAAATATGAAAAAAAATGATAACAATTAGATATAGCAGCTGCACAAAAAGATGAAATCTTTTTGTGCACAAAAAGATGAAATCTTTCCATAAAAAAACTTTTTTTTTATGGAAAGTATTGTTTTTTTTGCCAATGTTCAGAGGTTTTTTTCGAATTTTCAGAGGATTGAAACCCGATTTCCAACCAATCGGTAAATTGATGCGTAAGCATACTCTAATCCAAGCATGTGACAAATAGATTTATTGAGATTCGACTGATGAAAAGTTACTTTAACCACAAATATTTGTGAAAGATCTTGAAACAGTTAGATGGTAGTGATAGTTTTTTATGTTTTTTATATTTTTTATATTTTTGGTTACTTTAGGCATGGTTTAAGTTTAAAGAGAACTTGACTCCTATGCATTGGACTCTCAAAAAACCTAAAAAACCCCTGTCTCAGTCCTGCTAATTAACCCAAAGTTGTTACGACTTTGGGTTAATTAGGTTAACTTTAGGTTAAATTTTGGGTTAACTTAGGGCTCCTTATGTGGATTTGACAGTGCACACCAAAAACATTAACAAAAACACCATCCATGCTTAACATGACACATGCATGTACATGTGACACATGGCAATCTATGCACATGTGGCACATACATGCGCACATGGATACCATCTATTAACAACATTGCAACAAATCTTCTGTCCTCTATTTCCTTATTAATTAACTCTATTCTTTGTATTTTTATAACTCCCAATTTAACAGTAATTGCTTACAGTGTTTTTTTGAGAGTGAATTAGAAATAAAAAAAACTTTTTTTTTTAATGATAATTTATTTTCATATTGTTATTTATATTGTTACAAGTATTTTTGCTAAAAGCAATGTTTTTGTTTACATTTATAAGTTTTATTTTGTAAAAAACAATAGTTTAGATAATAGTTAAAATAATATTTTATAATAGTTACATCAGCTTTATATATTTAACAGATTGTGAGATATCAAAAAAGTGAAAACAGAATTTTCTTAAAATTTAGAAAAAATCTTTATTAATAGTTACCTTGATTAATAGTTAAATTTTCAAAAGGAATAAGGGTGTTTGATGAGATCTTATTACCTTCATCAATTGCTTTGACTTCAATTAACGCTAATTCTTTAAAAAAAAAAAAATCAAGTTCTTTTCTCTTATCTCTTTCGTTAGTTTCATTTTTGATAGTATATGATAGAATTTTTTTTTTTCTTTTCAATATTAATTAAATTTGTTCATTTATTAAACAATCAATTGAAGTATTTTGTAAAAGCGTTTTGCATAACTTTTATTAAACGTTTTAAAAGATCAGTTTCAAAGTAACTTTTTTCAAATGCAATTAAAAACGTAACAAAAACTAATTTCTACTTCGAGTTTTTTAATTAGGGTATGGTACCCCCGTGTTGTAATGAAATTTGCTGTATGTAGGCATTTTTTTGCAAAAAAAAAACCCAGCATTTGCTGTAAAAATAAAAAATAAAAAAAAAGTCCTGAATTTCTGAATATGGGCAGCACCCAAATATGGTCGCTGCTGTGTCGAAAATGCTCTAAAACAGCTCCTGATAAGGTTACTTATCTGCTTTATATATTTCCATATTATATATTCATTTAAAAACATATATGTTAACTTAAGTTATATTTCGATAAATAATTGAATTTATAAATTTTATAAATTTCAGATTGTCGTACTGTTCCTAATCTTGATGATGTTTCATTAACATTTGAGCAGCTTGGTGTTCACATACATGAATTGGAAGATTATGTGCAGCAAGTTGAATCTTCGCCTGTTTTAAGACCACCACCAAAATTTCCTTACTGTTTAAGTAACAACCAACTTCAATTTATTGAAGATGAACAGTATCCTCCTAAGGTTGAAGTTTTGCCCACGTCACAAATTAAAGAAGAATATCCTGAAGATAATAAGCAAGGTATTTATGCACAAATAAATAAATAGTATGTAGTTCATGTTTGATATATTTATATGTATATATATATATATATATATATATATATATATATATATATATATATATATATATATATATATATATATATATATATATATATATATATATATATATACATACACATACATACATACATACATACATACATACATACATACATACATACATACATACATACATACATACATACATACATAAATGCAGCATTAGGCGCAAACAAAATAGCTCCATAAATAACTGGAAGTTGCGAAAGCATCAGGACATATATGGAGCGTCAGTATATACATCTTATACCTGGTGGGAAATTGGTTAGCGAATAGCTAGCTATAATCGTTACGATAAAGACAACGATTTGGCCACGAGGATCACTAGCTTTTTTAAGTTAGCAAAAAGCTATCGATATTTGTAAAGATAAAGACAGCAATTTGGCTACAAGGACAGCTAGTTTAATAAGCTAAAGACTCACAGGCTATTGTAGCTACCGTCATATCATAATAAAATCGCTATCAAAAAAAATTTGGTATGTAGCTATCAACCAGCTCTGGATTTGTAGATATTTTGTAGCTAGCTACAAAGCTACGATATGTAGCTAGCGACACATTGCTACAAAATCATAATGTTTTAAGTTCAATTATTCTCATAATTATAATAGACTCAACACTAAAAATCGAATTTTTAAAGGTGTTAGAGACATTAGTAAAGAATAAAATAAGAAAAAAAAAATCGCTTGAAAATCGCTATAAAGCTAGCTACTTGCTCGCTAGTCGCTAGCTCATTTCCCACCGGTTAGCCTGTTGCCGCAAAGGACTGCTGCTACATCAACTGAGGGTTTAGCATGGGGCAGCAATCTTTTCTTTCATTATTCTTCATTTTTTTCTTCTTTTTCTAAAAAGTTAAAGCGCACCTTTTTATATAAAAAAAAAGCGCAAAAATGATATTAGTAAATTGTGTCCTTACATATTTTATATATGTAAGGACGTTTACATATATATGTATATATATATATGCATACACTGATATATATTACATATATATATGTATATGCACATATTATATATGTATACATACATAATATATGTATATATACATATATGTATATATACAGCCTGCGAAATTCAGATGCAAATCTGAATTTGCGGAATCCTGATGCAAAAGCCGACCTATCTTTGCTTTACGACAGCATACTATTGCTAACATGAATCTGCCTGCGTGCAAAAATAAATATATGAAAATTTTTTTGTTGTTGAATAGATAACAATATGTAATATTATTTCATTATAAGTTTATCATTTATTTATTGTAATTACTTGTTTTTTTTATTTGACATTTTATTTAAAAAAAAAAATTCATTCATTTTTTTGTTTTTTTCCAAATTAGTTCTAACGCAGCAAGATTATTTATTCATTTAAAAATTACTTTTCAAATGTCTGTTGTTCTCATGCTTTTTTACTTGAGATTTTAGCAAGATTATTATTTTATTAAGTTTTAAAATCTAATATGTATTTATTTTATTTGTTAAAATTGTTCATCAGAAAGTCTATTAAGTTTTGTATAGTTTTTGTATATAAGTCTTGGTATAGTTAAACATGTTAAACACATGTTAATTTAAAAACATGTTAAACACATATTAATTTAAAAACATGTTAAACACATGTTAATTAAAAAACATGTTAAAAACATGTTAATTAAAAAAAATGTTAAACACATGTTAATTAAAAAACATGTTAAACACATGTTAATTAAAAAACCTTAAACTATTTTGTAGTTTTGCGGTAGTGGTGTAGTGGTAAGAGCGCTCGCTTTGTAAGCGAGAGGTTCGGAGTTTGACTCCCACCATGTCCCTGGAAGTACCGCACTCAACTTAATTTCTCCGCGCAGCAGCCTTGCTTGTCAAGGTTCGTGTTTTGGAGTTAAAAAGTTGAAAGACGGTTGTACCACGATTTACAAAAAAAAAAAAAAAAAAAAAAAAAAGAGTAGCCTCCTCGACTGTAGTTGCCCCCTCGTTGCCTTGGAGAGGTGAATAATTTAAAAAATAAAAAATAAAAAAATTTTAAATTTGGTTCAAGTTTTTCATTAAGGTTTTGCATAAATTCATTCAAAATAAAAAACTCAAAAAATTACTCAAAAAATTGAAAAGAAACATTGCTTCTAAATTTAAAAAAGCAACTGTTTTTATTATTATTTTATTTTAGATTTTTTTTTTTTACCTTCACGCTATTTTTAAAGGGTCAGATCATTTATTTATATAAAGTTAAAGATCATACTATGCTAAAAGAGGTTAGAACAACTGGATGTAGACTGTAAATGGATGTAAACTGTCTACTTATTTTTTAAAACAATGCTTTTTTAATCAATTTATATATGTGTTATATATTTAATCATTGTTATATATGTGTAAATATATATATATATATATATATATATATATATATATATATATATATATATATATATATATATATATATATATATATATACAAATTATAAATATTATATACATATAGAACTCCCCTATAAAAAAAAAAAAGTCTTTTTTATTAAATGTTCAAAATAATGTTTATCATTAGCTATACAAAGTTGCATCCTTTCAAGCCATTTGTAAAATATTTTTTTATATTCTTTTTTGGGTATACTTTCAAGTAGCTTCGTTATGCAGGTTTTTTGGCTTTTGACGTCAGTATCGTTATCAAGATTTTTTTTATCAAGTCGAATAGCCAATAATCGGATGGAGCTAAGTCTGGTGAGTATGGTAGGTGGCAAATTATTGTTTAGACAATTTATGGTGGTTTGAGTTACATGGGGTCGAGCGTTATCATGGAGAAATTTGAAATTGTGAGAAGATGTAGAACATACTTTTTGGCTAAAACCTATCGCATCTTTCTCTGGATTTGTAGATATTTTGTAGCTAGTATCAGTAGCTGTATCACGACTCATCCCCTGTAACAGTATCACATAGCCTCCATAGGCCATTTCTGAAAAGGGCTAAAATTTCTGTACATGCCTCAACTCTATTCTTTCAATTTTGATTGGTTAACTTGTGGGGTATAAAACGTGATGTTAGTTATCTTTTTTTAAGTGCATTGTGAATGATTTTGTTGATTGTAAAACGATCAATCAATGTTAGGGTTTCACTTATATCATGTGCTGCGTGCGGATTTTTTTTAATAATGGTTCCCACACGTTCAATATTCTCAGCTGTATACATGGTTTGAGGTGCCTTGAGCAAGAATCATCTTTAAGACTCTCTCTACCATCTTTAAATAAAGGAGCCCACTTAGCAACTGTACAATATTTTGGAGCTTGGTCACCATGAACTAAAACCAATTCATCGGTTATGGCTTGTGCTGAAACTCCAAGTAGAGCACAAGTTTTAATATACGCTCGATATTCAAGTTTTTCCATATTTAAATTCTTTCTTTCAAACGTATATAATAAAATTTAAATAACTTTTTAATAAACATTCAAAATATTTCAACAAGTACTTTAAATGTTCATAATTAATCACAGTTTAAGATGATATATGAATATTGAATTATTTCCTGTCTTATTGTAACTTTATAGATGAAGTTTTATGAACTTCTCTAACGACCTAAGTATATACATAAAAATGAAAATGCGATAAGAGCAAAATAAACGATAAAAAAACTTTTTGATATGTTTGTAAACAGAATCAAATTGATATAATTTTTAAAATCATACAAATTAGTCTGTGCTGTGATTGTTGAAGAAGATTGATTTTTAAACTTTAAAATGTTATTTTGATAACAAATCCTCAATGTCTGACTTGCATTAAAAAAAAAATAAAAGCCTTTTTTTGAAAAATTTAAATAAGCACTTAAATTTTTCTAAGAAAGGACACGTTTTAATTGTATTCAAATTTTTGCACATGATGTGATATTGAGTTATTATTGAATAGTCGCAAGGCTTCAGATGCTGACATCAATAGAGCAAGGTATTTGAAAAGTATAATTCATCAGCTGAAAACATCTTTTTTCTTAAAAAACAAGAAAATAAATTTATAAATAACTTTTAAAAAGTTGAACTTTATAACCATCACAGAATATTTGAAAGTACTTTAAAGGGCACAATTTAGTTTTTTATTTTCCGCAGGAAGAGGCTATATAAAAAACTCAATTATCTCTATATTTAAAGTCTTTATTTCTAAATTCTGTATACTACATTTTGTTTGATTCTGAGATAACAAAATTTTCACTACAATAAAATTATAGTTGCTGTAGTTAACATAGTTATAACTAACTTTTACGACAAGTTTAAAAAACTAATTAATAATTTGAGAAAAAGCAAAAATTAAAGTATTAGTGAATTTCTTTGGTATATGACTGGATTTGATTAGGGATTGTCCATAAATTGTGCAACGTTTAATTTCACTAATAAATAAAATAAATTAGATCAAAAGTTTTACCTCGCAGAACCATAAGTTAAATAAATAAAAAAATTTACCTCGCAGAACCTTAAGTTAAAAAATCAGAATAGAGCATCAAGTTTGATGTGGTGTAGAAAAGCTGAAGATTTTCTACTTCTGTTTTGAAATTAAACTTTTCATTGTAAAATATATGTACAAACCCTATCTTAATTTTCAAAATATATGTGCAAACAAATTATTAGATAATTATTAGATAGTTTAGACTATTAATTTTAGAATAACGTTAATAACGTTGGAGTATGAGTTTTTGTCAGACATTACTTAAAAATAACACAAAAGTTAAAACTATTTTATCAATTCTTTATATTTATGAAGATAAAAACTGATGCAATAATTTCATATTTGTTGTAAATATAACTTAAACTCTTTGAAATTATATTATTACTGTTTAAAATATATACTATCTATATTTTTAAAACTATATTCTTAAATAAAAAAAAGGAAATAAATTCATATTTAAAAATTACTGGCAAATAATTAATTTCCAGTAATTTAAAATAATTTCCACAAAGTCTAG